CCGAAACCGAAATTAAGCCGAAAGTTAACTTTTCAGTTTCGGCCGAAACCGAAACTTGGCCGAAAGTGATAAAATGGCCACTTTCGGCGCCGAAACCGAAGCCGAAGCCGAAATTCGGTCGGTCTCTACAGTGAACATGGGGGCTATGAACGTCTCAATTGCAAAAACAGACCCAAGCAAATGTCAGGTTGTCCAAACATCTAGGACAGTTGAGTCAAAATCTTTATAGCTTCAGTGGGAGCAGACAGAAAGCAGACCCCACACAAGCTGGACGTCATTATTTCGTTCATATATGTGCAATGGCAAACAATGATTAAGTAGACCCACCCCACCCTACCCCGGTGAATATATTAGAATTTTTCTTTAAACTCGGAGATTGAATAAATGACTTAAAGATATAAATGTGTAGATAGAAATAAATGTATAGACAGAAATGTGTAGACAGAAATGTGTATATAGAAGTGTGTAGATAGAAAGTTTCTGACTGCTATGGATGGTCATCATGTGTACCATTGGGCACTCTTACCTCAATATTTTAGCAAGTCCTGGTCCAAGCTGGCCCAGTGACCCTGTGAGTGGCGCAAATGGGAGACATGTAAGGTCTAGGTCAATCATTGTTGATTAACGTGATTCAACAGACGACATGACATATCATGAATCCTACCCTTATTGGGAGTCATACACCTATCAAACAAACACCTTGACCACACACAAACCCTGGCTCCACACCATTACCCCATTCACACACCCTCCCACCAACATCCTCACACCACACAACTATCACCCCACAAATAGCCTCGCACCACACACACCCTCCCACCAACACCCTCACAACATATCAACACTACCACCATTTCACACACCCTCAAGCCCAACACCCCCACCCATTCACACACCCTCCCACCAACACCCTCACACCACAAAACTATCACCCCACAAATAGCCTCGCACTACGCACACCCTCCCACCAACACCCTCACAACATACCAACACTACCACCATTTCACACACCCTCAAGCCCAACACCCCCACCCATTCACACACCCTCCCACCAACACCCTCACACCACACCAACACCACCGTCCCACATTACACCTTATCCTCACCTGAAATCAAGACTCGAGGTCGACTCTCCACATCGGTGTAGTAGCTGTGGCTCTCTCTTCTCGCCGACACCGTCCCGGTGACTCTTCTCCATCGGTTGAGCGCCCTGGGTGGAGCTGGCATCCTTGGTGGAATGGAGGCGCTGGAGCCAAAAGTCCTTATAAAACTGCGCACAGCGTTGGTGGCCATCGTATCCTCGATAAAAATGGATTTTCTCACGTCAATACAACAGTGTTGGTCGAGTGGCTCTTACTCTCTGCCCGACTGGTCAGCTGGTCAACGATGAGGAGCCAATCCCTGGGTTATCCAGCCTGGTTAATCCGACCTTCAACGTACCGCACCTGTTGATGATACCATATTGACCATGAAGATTTTTTTTGTTCAAACGGACAATAGAAACCCATAATGCATTATGTATCAATGTATGACCAGGTGCGTTACTTCGGCCCACACACGTGGCGTGGCTACCCCACTGTTATTGGCGGACCCTTGGCCTCAGTATAAAGTAGACCGATGGCTAGACATAAACGATGTATATTTTGAGTGTCGTTATCTTAAATAAGAAATTCGGAAGAAAATTTGGCAAAGTTTTAGAAATGCATCGCTGACTGCGACATATTTTTTAAATTTAATTTGCTCAGTTGGTAGATACGCAAACATACGTGTCCTCGTTGTTAAAGGAAGTGTGTGTGTGGTTGTGTCGGGTGTGTGTGTGTGGTTGTGTCGGGTGTGTGTGTGTGGTTGTGTCGGGTGTGTGTGTGTGTGGTTGTGTCAGGTGTGTGTGCGTGTGTGTGTGTGTGGGGGGGGGTGATGAATACATTGTTTATCCTATTTGACATACAGAGGCCAGGGGACAAAAAACAACAACAAAAAAACACAAATTAAATGGATTCCGATGTCTATACAGCATAGCCCCAGCGCCTTAAAGGATGATTGGGGTCGATGGACCCCTGGTGGTCTGTTCACTGTCTCTAGTGTTACCCATTGTGGTTGCTATCATTGTGGTCAAACCCTTCACTGTCTATTAAGACAGCCTTGCCTCTCCCAGGCCGACCAGTTCATTATTACCCAAGCGCAAGCTATTTAAACGAGTTTCATGTGTCGTCTTCATGCCAAGAGCGACAACTCAGTTGATTCAAGACATTGACACATTCTCTAAACGTGAATGTAAGTCTTGTCAGGACATCAGTTGAACTAAGTTGATTCAAGACATTGACACATTCTCTAAACGTGAATGTAAGTCTTGTCAGGACATCAGTTGAACTAAGTTGATTCAAGACATTGACACATTCTCTAAACGTGAATGTAAGTCTTGTCAGGACATCAGTTGAACTAAGTTGATTCAAGACATTGACACATTCTCTAAACGTGAATGTAAGTCTTGTCAGGACATCATTTGAACTCAGTTGATTCAAGACATAGACACATTCTCTAAACGTGAATGTAAGTCTTGTCAGGACATCAGTTGAACTCAGTTGATTCAAGACATTGACACATTCTCTAAATGTGAATGTAAGTCTTGTCAGGACATCAGTTGAACTAAGTTGATTCAAGACATTGACACATTCTCTAAACGTGAATGTAAGTCTTGTCAGGACATCAGTTGAACTAAGTTGATTCAAGACTTTGACACATTCTCTAAACGTGAATGTAAGTCTTGTCAGGACATCAGTTGAACTAAGTTGAGGCAATGGTGATCAACTTTGGGGTTTTCTTGAAAATAGACAAATATTGATATTAATTTTGTATTTTTTAAATTATTTAAAGCAGGTCACTCTCCTACGTGGACAGCGCAGTTCACTTCCTATTCTATTCTATACAAAAATAAAATGGAAAAAAACAACCCTGACATTGACCGAAAAGGTCGCCCCTCAATATATAGACAAAGTGCTGCCCCGGTGGTGGGGGGCCGCCCCCCTCCCCCCCCCCGCTACAGGTCTAGCTCCCTACGCAAGTGTGTCCAATTATGACAATGTTAAAGATTTCAACTGGGAAAACATTTTCACCATCTGATGTCACCATTGGACGTATGACGTCAAGACATCATATTTATGATACCGATATTACGATTCTTCCACTTCCTTTGTCAAAGACTTTCAAAGACCCTGTCCAAAAATGGTGAACATTTGGAGCAATTTCGTATCATTCATAAAGTGTTTCAAATCATGTCAAGGGTCACTGCAGTGTTACAAAACAAAGTGATAAGGAATGTGATAGTCAACTGAATGGGGCGTTTGTGAAGTAAAAGAACTGTCATTACTGAAGTTAAAGAGTACAGTTAAACATTCACTTAAAACGAAAAAGCTCCTTAAATTTCATCTTGGACTTGTTAATCTTGTTTTTATTTTCTAAATGTATAGGCTAAACTTTAGTTCTACATTGACTTTCCAGGTCGATTTTTCTGTAAGGATCGTGAAATCCCGTCTTAGATAAGAATATAAATATCAGATGCAGCCTCAATTCACGGAGAACTCATGCATTCAGGTTTACAAAAGAATACATGTCTGAGGACATTGACATTGGGGACACTCTGAGTTGGATTAATATAAATGCCGGACGGTGCATCAGCAGAACTGCTTATAGTTTGTCAGAGGATGCTAACTTATAGAGAGTCACCGGATCCGGTATCTCATTGAAGACAGGTGCCCGACTCAGGACCGGCCTCCTTCGTGTCACTAGTTTAGCCGTTGCTGAAGCTGTCTATTTACTGTGAAGTCTTAGAGCCGCATGCATTTTTGAACAATTACGACGAAAGAGTTGAACCCAGTTTAAAAGGATGTGGGTCTTGAGAGAATTGAACCCAGTTTAAAAGGATGGGGGTCTTGAGAGAGTTGAACCCAGTTTAAAAGGATGGGGGTCTTGAAAGAGTTGAACCCAGTTTAAAAGGATGGGGGTCTTGAGAGAGTTGAACCCAGTTTAAAAGGATGGGGGTTTTTTTAAACATCGGACACAAAACACAATCATCGTATAAAGTAGACCACAACACACTGTCAATGAAGTTGATGTAAACAGTGTCCAAGCGTACGGTCAATAAAGTGAGTGGACCAGTGGAACATTGTCACGACACACCATCAATATGCTGTAAATCTAGTGAGTTAAACACTGACACAACAGTGTCAATAAAATTAAGTTAAACAATGTGAATGCATTCCTTTGTTTCCATTCGGGGGACGCAACTTCACTACCAGATAACGTTAAAATGATTACCTCCCCCCACAGTCATTTACCAGCGACTTTCAACAAGATCCTTAGTATTTTTAGCTCAAAAAATAAGTCATGACAATGTTTTCTTACATTTTGTTTGCTTATGTTATTTTTAGAGAATCTATTACGTCAGATATTGAGTTAGTTGTTTCGTGGCTGTCAGCACACCTATCAAAACTCAATAGCAGATTTATTATTAAAAAAATAGAAATCTGAGCTAGTCAGTTTTCGCTATCGGGCTATCCATTTGTAAAGTGTCAGGACCGCAAGTGTGGGGCTCTGAGGGCTCAGCTTAATTTTATGATTGACGTTACGGTGCGTCAAATTCACGACTTAACCTACCTCAGCCTACGGTTACAACCAATCAGCAAAAGTGGTATGAGAGAGAGAGATATATATATAAAGACAGAAATAGTAATTATAATAATAAATAATAATAATCAAGTTTATTTGAACAACACGTTTCATCCCCAAAGGCTCGAAGCGCGGAACAAAGTCAAAAAAAAAAAAAAAAAAAAAAATCTATAATTTACCACATTTAAGACAAACGCAACACTACTTGCAAGCATACCAAGCAGGGTTTCTTTNAAATGTGTTTGCCTGAATGTCCTCGGGGCTGAGCTCCCTTTCTCTCAGGTAACACACGCATGTAGACAGTTGGGGGGGGGGAGGGGGGAGTGCTGCTGTGACACAGTGGTTCTCAAAGTTTGTTACTGAGGGTTATGCATGTTGCACTATTATCACTAGGATGATACTATGTGAGGTTTTCATAGATGCTTAATAACTTTCTTTATCGTTAAATAAATATAACACTACATCAAACATTATCTATGCGAAACCTGTTGATTATATCAATAAAAACCTCAATTGTTAATTAGTATTCCCGGTAGCCATTTAAAACTTAGAACCTCCCAAGTGGCGACGGGAGGCTTGGCCCTGTACCGTGAGTGTGAACCAATCAGAATCGTCACCCAGAAGGTGTGTCTCAGGTCTGTGCGTTGATTGGTCACACCGCTTTTGCACTTAAAGATCCTCATAGCGATGACGTTGCGAAGTTCAAGTTTGTCCCAAGGCTGAGATTTGAACATCTGGGGCGTGTCTCTGATGATAATCTCTAACAACTCAACAAATAGAGCACCGTTCTGACATTGGTCAAATATTTTATTATTTCAGCACTTTTTTTTCCGAGCATTTTGAGAGTAGGAAAGTGTGCTTTATATTTCTTGTTCAAATATGGGCAGGTTAAATGAAACTCATAATGCATCTTTCATTGTCTTTTAATATTTTCACTCTCAGCGTCCCAGTCAGAGCCGTGTGAATGGGGGGGGGGGGGGGGGGGGGAGTTGGCCCAAAGCGCCATCTTCAGGGGGAGGGGGCGCCAAAGTTATTATTAGATACGACCTTAATAGTGAGTGAAATGTTATAATTTCATGTATTTCACAAAGACAGGGGAAGCCAAAGGCGTATTCTTACTGGTTTGTCCAGGGGCGGCACTTTTTCCATATATAATGAGAGCGTCGTATACAGGCTTCGTCCCGGGAGCTGCTTATCCTCGGGATGGGCCTGGTCACAGAAAGGGGCACTTTACAAAGATCATGAACTCACAGTGCGGTAGATACATTGTGTCTCTAAGTGTCACAGTCAAGTGCGGTACAAACATCAGGATATGTCGTCAATATTTTCCCAGTTTTTGTGTAGGTCTATAAATAATAAGTAGGGCAATTTGTCGGTGGCCGCCGGGTTCATCCTGTTTTATTGTTGTCACTGACTGCCCCTGGTAAATAAGATATTTTTTATAAACGCCTCTCACAAAGAAAACATAAAACGTAGATTTCACCCTGACCTGTCGATGCACAAAGTGTGACTGTCAGTCAGCCGGAACGTAACGCACGAAAAACTGTCTCTCTGCTATTATTTATCACTAATGTATGAACAGGGGCGTATATCCTCCCCCCGAGTCGTGGAAGCCAAACCCAGCCCCCCCCCGACTGAGGTCAATTCTGTGGGTCATGGTTTTTCTGAAATAGTTGGTGAAATACATCTGTGGTGTAAAAGCGGGTGGGTC